CTGTGCTGCTTGCCTTGCCCTACCCTCATGGGAACCTTGCCTGGGCTAGTTCTAACTTGGAGGGAGCCAGGCAAAGTGCTCCTCCCTGTGTAATCCCAAGCCCACACCAAGGTTCTAGCCTTGGCATGCACCCTGGGCATCCTCTGCAGGGCTTCAGCTCTAGTCCCTCTGCCCTCTTGGCCCTAGCAGTAAAGATGGTGTCGTGTGATCTCTGGGTGTCTGTGTGATCTCTGGGTGCCTCAGTCCCCATGAGGTCCCCAAGCCTCTGCCATGGTGTTTTTTTCCTCCCCCACACCATGCCTGGCACATCACCAAACAGCAGTGTTTAGAGCCCTCTGAGCATGAGTGGTACCCTTCAGGGCTAAGAATGTGTACTCAGAGCCAAGGCAGGGTCTGCACTTGCCCCTTCACAGAGCCCAAGGCTCAGGGCCAGTTGGGCCCAGTGTCCACACAAGGCTCTCCTCCCAGCCCTGATGCAACTGGGCTCCCACTCCATACCAGCAGTGCCCTTGCTGGCAGGGATGCTATCTAGTAATTAGACCAGAGCAGCCCCTTCCAGGGAAAAGGCAGGAGGGATGCCAACCCCTGCAGGCAAAGACTTCTCACCCTGCACCCTGAGGCCCCAAATGGAGAGTGGGCCAGGAGCCCAAACAACAGCTGAAACAGATACTTGTTTATTTCCCATAAAGGAGGCAAAATAGGGTCCTTTAGCCAAGCAGACCTCACTTCCAGAAGAGTACATTCCAGAAGAGCAGCCAGCAGGGGTAGAGACCCAGGGCCAGCAGTGGGAAGAGCAGGGCACCGTAGGTGTAGTGCTCCAGGACACCCTGGGCCAGTGACGACAGAAAGAGCTGCCAGCCTTCGGCTATCGACAGCGGTGCCTCCTGCAGCTCCCGCCACAGGAACAGGCTGCCCAAGAGTGTGGCTGCTGGGCTCGTCAGTACCAGCAGAGCAGCATAGAGGGGCCTAGGTATGAGAGCAACATCAGGGCAGGCTCTGTAGTGGGGGTATGGGCACCAAGTGGGAGAGGAGGGGTACTGAATGAGGGCGGGCTCTAGGGTAAGGGGCACAGGTGCTGGGGAAATAGGAGCTGACCAGCACATACCGGGGTCCATGAGGCTCGGTGAGTGTAGCAGCAGGCACCATAGTGGCAGCGAGAAGGAAGCCCAGTGAGAAGTTGGTAAGGGCAATGCAGCCCAGCTGTAGTGCTAAGTAGATCAGGGCCACCAGCTTTAGTGCCATCCAGCCCCTGTCTGGGGCCTGTGTGCTCACCACCCTGCAAGGCAAGGGGCTCACAGGCAGCTGCTTGTATGCCCAGGGTGCCTATCCATACCTGCCCAGCCCAGTCCAGACTCTTACCAGTGGGTATTGTGGGGAAGGGCCAGGCCAGCCACATAAATTGCCAGCAGCGTCAGCACCACGGCCTCAGCCTCGCCCACTGGGAAGTGTTCGGTGGCCATGTGTTGACTCAGCACTGGCAGGACGTAGAGGGCCAGTCCCATGGCCTGAGAGACCAGCACAGGTGCCACAAGCGAGGCCAGCCCCACACCCTGCAGGGCACACGGGCTCCTGGAGTTGGGGCCATGGGACCCCCAAGGACCTTTACCGCCACCCCACTAGCTGAAGCTAAGCACCATTCAGAACCCCAGAATCCCACCCCAACCACAAAAGGGGCTGCCATCACCTGTGCTGCAGGGAGGGCGGCACTGGGTCCAGGCCCTTCCCCAGCCTCAAGGCCCACTCCGGCCTCATGTAGTTGCATCCACAGTTCCAAAGCATGGCCCAGTCAAGGAGCCCACAAGAAGTGTGATAGGCTCTGCAGGGTAGGGGACCCAGGACTCACCCACACTCCCCCACCCTCAAATCAGGATGGAGAACTCTTCCCAACCTAGAAGGAACCTGAGACTAGTCACAAGCAGTTAGCCAGGGAGGATATCTTCAGACCAAGGACCAGGAGCAAGAAGCCAGCGGCGGGCATGTAGAGGCCGATGGAGACAAAGCGGGATAGAGCAGGGAGTAGGTAGAGGAAGAAGGACTGGTGCAGGCGCTCTAGGAGGTGGTTGAGCTTCCGGAACATGCCCTCCAAAGCCCTGTTGGGTATGGGGTGAGGTCACAGTCAACCAGATCCCCCAGGTCATCTCTATCCCACCAAAGATGGGCACTGCTCTGAGTGTGGAAAGAGAAAAGACCAGAGGCTACTTACTTGCCCACAGCCACAAGGTCATACTTGTACTGGCGAAAACTATTGATGCCACGCAGGGTTAGGGCCTCCACGCGGTAGCGCAGGAAGAGGCCGTGGGGACCGTGGGGGCGGCCAGAGGCCTGCTGCAGAACCATGAGCAGCAGTGTCTGCAGGCCCTGCAGTGGCCCATCCAGTGATGTCCAGTCCTGGGGCTGCAGCTTTAAAGGTGGGAACAGGATCAGATAATGCCCCCCATACAGGCCTGGTGCCCCCTTAGACAGGCAGTCCCACCTTGCCCTGCAATGTGCACAACAACCCCCCTTTCTGGCAGAAGGTCTGGAAGAGGTTGAGCAGGTCAAGGTTGGGCAACTGCCCGTTGAGGCCTTCCACAGACACATCGAGGCTGGTGACCACATCACTGCTCAGCTCCAGGGCCACGGCGGCCTGGATGGCCCCAGCCCGGCCCTGCAATGGAGACGACTGCATGCCTGTAGGGGCAAGTAAATGAACACCAACGGGTGGGCTGATGAGGTCAGTGACCCTGAGAGAGGAACCAGGGCAGGACAAGAGCACATACCAGTCACATTGACATCATGGTAGGCTTCAAGCCACGCCTCAGTGCCCAGAAGGTCATGTTCTGTCACCAGGAAAATGATATCTTTGGCCCAGTAAATCTGTCCTGGAGACCAGAAGCAGGATTAGCTGGGCCTAGGGCACTGGCCAAACCCTCCTTAGCCAGCAGCCCCTGAGCCTCACCCCGGAAGTGGGCAGCCAGTGCCAGCAGCAGCCCCACAGCCTGGCTGTTGGTAGAGTCAGAGCCACAGGGCACGGTGAACACGAGAGACTCAGTGCTAGCAGCACGGGGGGCCCGCAGAATGCCGTACACGTTGGTGCCTGACACCATCTGCATGTAGTATTGGTGGGAGTGAGCCTCAGCGCAACCCTACAACAGAAGGCTGAAGCCCCTCAACCCCCACCCTGTTTTCCTGGCCCTACAACGCCCACCAGGGATTTCCCTCGCCCCAGATCATCTCTCCCATTGACCTTCCTGGCCCCACAAAACCCTCCAACATGATTCCAAGCCCAGACCACCCCTCCAAGGTGCTTCTTGGCCCCAAACACAACCGCCCCCCTTTCCAATACATAGCGTTCATGCGTTTCATCTGGGAAAGGCAGTTTCCGGGAGAAACTCTGTGTGTAGACCTCCAGCCCAACTGATCGCATCGTCCGCTCCAGCCAGGCCACTGGCAGAGCCCTGGAGACAAAGAGAGCTTCTGAGCAGAGCTCCCTGGCCTTGGCCACCACTACTTCCCCCATACCCACTGATTTGCCGCTCACCCCGACTTCCTGCGGTGGGCAGCGAAGTCCCGAGCAAAGCTCCGGGCACGGTCTCCGCCCACAAACTGCTCCTCCACCATAGTGGAGCCCATGGCGTTCTCCGACATGTAAGTGCGCTGGGTCAGCGGCGGGAAAGCCAGCGCCAAGAACCAGGCGATGCCCGCCACGTAGCTCAGCATGCTGTGAAAGAGAGGAAGAAGGGGGCCACCGGGGCATTAGAGGGACGAGGGACGCCGGCCTGTGGCCTCAACCTCTGCACCAAGGGTCGAACCGGCGGATCGGAGGAACTTAGACCCAGAGTCCGAGCATCGAGATGCCGGACAGAGGAGCTGAGCCCCAGGCCTGGCACCCTGAGTGATGCCAGCGGTGGGAGGAGGCGGAGCGGGCAGCCCCGGCCCCGTGAGCGAGGGCCCGCGCGCGATCAGAGGCAGCTTCAGCCCGAGACCCTCAGGGTCCCGCCTCACCAGAGCGGCGCGTTGAGGCGCAGCACGAGGCGGGCGAGCGCGCGCCGGCGCACCGGGTCCGACAGGAGGCCCATGGTGGGGCGAGGTAGCCCTGGGAGCTTACTCCCGCTGCCAGCTAGGGCAGCCAAGCCCGCGCGACGCTCCCGCCAGACCCGAGAACCAGTACCCGCTCGCACTTCCGGTCCCGGCGACCTTCGCGCCAGTGCGCATGCCCAGTAGAGGTCGCGTCCCGCCTCCGTTCAGCCAGCACGCATGCCCAGAGCAGCGGCCGGGCTTGAGCTGCGGGCTTGAGCATCTTATGGGGGCGGTGCGCCAGCAGGCCAGGGACTGGGGAACGGGTTTCAGAGTCTGCTGGGAGCACCTCCGGGAGGGAGGGTTGGACCACATTAGGGGAGAAGTAGCTCCTGGGTTTGGGCTGCTGGGGGCGATAGTCAGAGCTCCTGCAGGTCTGAGAGCAGGAGGTGGATGAAGGAAGAGGGCACAGTAGTAGGGCAGCAGGGTCAGGGTCAGAGGTGAGGAAAAACTCCAGGTGAGAACAGGCGTCTGTTATGTCTTTAGAGCCCAAGGTGGGTACCATAAAGGCCCAAGGGGCTCCAAGACACAATGCATAGGATGTGGGACATGTTCCCCCCCTCTATGGGGGGTACCCATAGCCAGCTGAGTTCACCCTCAGCCCTTGTGCTCAGGACCCTAGATGTGCTGGGGTGAGCATAACAGACTCCTTAGTCTGATGGCCTGGTTCAATTTGCCAGACCCCACCTAAACCACTGTTCAGTGGCCTTGAGCCCTTCCTGGCATATGCTGCTCTTTCCACCCAGGGACTCCCTCACTTTAAACCCCAACTCCACCTTCCTCTTCAGGGTTTGAATCCTGAGGCTACAAAGAAGCATGTAGTTCATGTGGCACGGGGGGGCAGCTCCTGGTCACCCTCAGGAGCCAGCACAAGGCCAGGCTCTGCAGGGTTCTGCACTGTTCTAGAAGTGCTGGAGGGAGATCAAAGCACAGTGAGGGATGTATAAGCATTAGAACAGGGCTTTATTCTGGAGATGGGTGGCTGGGTACTCAGTCTCCCAGCAAGATAGAGGCTTCACGCACATGCTGCCGGACCACATGGTCCAACAGGGTGTGCACATCTCGGGCGGCCTGGGCAGCGGCCTCTAGCACCCGCTCTAAGTGGTCCTCATGCAGCCGGGCATCCATCTCAAGCAATGCAATCTGGCCTGCAGCTGGCAGCAGGGCGAGGGCCAGCTGAGGGCCACCAGCTGCTTCCTCCACATGGCTGAGGTCCGCCAGGGCTGTGCCATCCACAAAGCCAGCTGAGCACGCACACACAAAGTCTCTCATGGGTATCCCAGCATCCAGCACTGCCAGTGTAGCTGCATTCACACAAGCTGCGTAGGTTCCACCATCTGCCTGCAGCACCTGCAGGGACCCCCCCAGGGGCATCAGTCCATCAGACTGCCACCCCCACTTTTCTTTTTTTTTTTTTTGGAGACAGAGTCTCGCTTTTGTTGCCCAGGCTAGAGTGAGTGCCGTGGCATCAGTCTAGCTCACAGCAACCTCAAACTCCTGGGCTCAAGCAATCCCCCCCACCTCAGCCTCTCGAGTAGCTGGGACTACAGGCATGCACCACCATGCCCGGCTAATTTTTTCCATATATATTAGTTGGCCAATTAATTTCTTTCTATTTATTTATAGTAGAGACGGGGTCTTGCTCTTGCTCAGGCTGGTTTCGAACTCCTGACCTTGAGCAATCTGCCCGCCTCGGCCTATCAGAGTGCTAGGTTTACAGGCGTGAGCCACCATGCCCAGCCCACCCCCACCTTTTTTGATTACACCTTTCCCTATCCAGATTGAGGGCAACAGCCAGCTCACCTGCACATAGATGTCAATCTGGGAGCGTGGGTGCAGCTTTGTGAGGATGGCTGCCTCGAAGGTCTGGCGTAGTTGCAGGCCCATCTCACAGGATTTACGGTCCCCATGTGGCCGTCGCTTGCGCTCACCTGTGCTAAAGGTTGCTGAACTATACTGACAGTTCACCAGGGCCCGGTCTGGCAGGGCTCGAGCACGGGAGCCCCGGATCTGGAGGAGGAAGGACATGTAAGCCAGGCACACTGCTCCCAGCTCATACTCCCCAGTCTTCTGCGGCTCAGCCTCCCTTTCTCCTCTCCCTCCACTTCCAATGTTTCAGCAACTCTCCAAAACAGAACCAAGGGAGGGCCACTTGCCAGCCACCTCTGGCATGTAGTCTTTTAACTGGCTTCCTTGTGCTCATCCTTGCCCCATTCCCTCCCAATCCATGTTTGCAAATGTCATGTCTGATTCTGTCTCACCTACACACAAAGATCTTACTTTCCAAAGGCTTCCCATTACGTGTGAAATAAAATCCCAGATCCTTCCCCTGATCTACAAGACACTGAGTCCTCACCTCCCTGGAAACCCTCAACCCTATTTGGAATTCTCTCCCCACTCCCTACCAGTGCCATGCTTGTTTTCACCCCTGTGGCATTCAGCCTCTTGGATCTCTCAGCCTAGAAAGCAAAGTTCCCACGCTTATGCGCTAAGCAAACATTTTTTCAATGTCTTTGCTAGCTAGGCACTGTTACCGCGCTGGAAACAGCAGTAAAACCAAACGGTTAGTTCCAGTCCTCAGGGAGTTTATGTTCCAGCGGGGGAAACAAAGGGGGGCGGGGGGAGAATTAAACAAAATTAACGTTTGAGGTGGTAGATGAAGGCAAGGAAATGTTTATTGTAGAAAGGGGAACTGCCACGTGGATAAGGTGGACTGGGGAGGCATTATACGGCGTTTAACGTCGGAGAGCTGAGAGGAGAAGAAGCGAGTGGGAGAGTGGCTGGCATGGCAAGGAGCCGCAAAGAGGAAGGCAGGCGCAGGGACAGGGACCGATGAAAAAGGGACCACCGAGCGGTACACTGTAAGGATTATGGCGTTGACTCCGAGTGAGATGCGGCACTGAGCAACTGCTGCGTGAACCTCCGGAGGCTCACAGACCGTCGCCTCCCACGCCTCCGAGCCTCAGGCAGCCTGACAGCCCGGCGGCGGCTGCAACTCCAGCCGCAGCGCGATTCCTCCTCCCGGCCCCGCAAGTTGCCCGACTCGCGCGTGGCCACTTGCCTCGTGCGGCCCGTAGACCACCGCCAGCGCCTTGGTGTTGCCCTGCTCGATGTAGGCCGAGCCGTCAGCCTGTGCAAACACGCCCATGCGCGCCTGGATCTTGCGCAGCTCCCCAGCACGCCGTCCATCTACCCGGTAACCCTGGTCCGACAAGAGCTCCAGTCCCGCCATGCCGTCCGTCGGCGAACCCTTGTCTCTGCCCCTACAGAGACCTACAGCTACCGGAGGCCCGGGGATCTCAACTTCCGTTTGTTACCCCCAGCACTTCCGGTCCCGGGGAGATGCTACTTCCGGCGGTCAGTCCGCACTTCCGATCGCAGGGAGGGTAGGCTAACCGAAGGCCTCATTCCTGGCGTTGAAAGCCTGCTCGCCTTTGCTTCTGTTTGATCTCCATGGAGTCTGCTCCAGGGTCGCCGCGAGGCAGCGCCTGCTGGAGGGTAGCGCAGGCCTCTGTCTCTGTCCTTGCGTGGCCATAAATACGTTCGTTCTCCCAGCTGGGACGCATTCTCTGTTGTTTTCTTACTGTTTAGTTTTTACAGTTGTCCTTTCAGAAAATATCCTGTGTAAAATAAGAACGGTGCAAAAAAAAAAAAAGGAAGAAAATCTAATAGGAATAAATTTATTAACAAACTTTGAAAACTAAAAAAACAGACACAGTTTATATTACACATACATATGATCATATTCTTTGTAGGCCAGTTTTAACTTTGCTCGTTCTCTTAGTTCTGTCTGCACCTCTCTCCCCATCAACCTTAAACTAATAAATATTTTTTCCATACTCATCTGATTACGTACAATCATACACAAACACATCCAATTGTACATGTACAGCTATCCAGAGGCTTTTGGAATTCCGAGAGTCTTGCTCTGGTAGAGACAGAGCCTCACTCTGTCACCCAGGCTAGAGTACAGTGGTGTCATCATAGTTCACTGCAGCCTCAAACTCCTGGCTCAAGTGATCCTCCTGCCTCAGTCTCCTGAGTACCTGGGACTACAGGTACAAGCCACCACACCCTGCTAATTTTTCTTTTTTTTTTTTTTTATTTCTTTTTTTTATTTTGGCATATTATGGGGGTACAGATTTTAAGGTTTCAATAAATGCCCATTTCCCCCTTTTTTTTTTTTTTTGAGACAGAGTCTCACTTTGTTGCCCAGGCTAGAGTGAGTGCCGTGGCGTCAGCCTGGCTCACAGCAACCTCAAACTCCTGGGCTCAGCAATCCTACTGCCTCAGCCTCCCAAGTAGCTGGGACTACAGGCATGCACCACCACGCCCCGCTAATTTTTTGTATATATATATTTTTAGTTGGTCAATTAATTTCTTTCTATTTTTGGTAAAGATGGGGTCTCGCTCAGGCTGGTTTCGAACTCCTGACCTTGAGCAATCCGCCCGTCTCGGCCTCCCAAAGTGCTAGGATTACAGGCGTGAGCCACCGAGCCTGGCCTTAATTTTTCTATTTTTAGTAGAGACAGGTCTTGCTTTTGCTGAGGCTGGTCTCCAACTCCTGACTTCAATCAGTCCTCCTGCCTTGGCCTCCCAAAGTACTGGGATTTATAGGCATGAGCCACTGTGACCAGCCTGGTTGTTGTTTTTTAAGTGGTATCATTTCATACATACTTATTTGTGTTTTTTAACTTTAAAAATACCTTATGAAATCCCTCCCAGTAATCCTTTGGAGCTCTCATTTTTTGCTGGCTGCTTGATAGACATGGGGTGGATGTATTGGATGTGTTTCCACCACTGTCCCACAGTGGACAGTTGGTGTATGTCCCGGGGCTTATAGTTGGGGGATGGAACCCCAGGAGTATGGTTTCTGGGTGAAGGCTCTAAGGACATGAGTTTTTCCTTCCTTACCAAGATTAACTTACAGTTTTAAAAATAAACTTTGGCAGCCTGCACTGTTACTGACATTGTGTTGTTCCTCTTATATTTCCTGGCCCTGATGTATTCCAGCCTGTCATGTCTATCCAGTCCAATGGAAAAGTGAGGGAGACTTTCCTCCTCAGGCACCTTCTGTCTCCATGGACCTATTTCCCAGTGGTCAGTGTCACCAGCAGGGAGTTCATTTCCTTGTTACCAGGTTCCATAATTGAGCCCTTTCCAAGCTTTTAGGAAGTGACATTCCCTGATCCCAGTTTGAAAGTAGAAGGATGACTTCAGTGGGTTGCAACACTGACCAACAGGAGAGGAGGCACTAAGGACTCCTAGGGTGGTGACCAGGTCCATCTCCCAGCATGGCCCACACCTGACACCTCTCAGGTCCTCTTGTACCCTCCTATTACATCGAGTCTCATACTGCAATCAAATGGGCCTCTTTTTTTCTCTCTGAGAATGCAAATTCCATCACCCTTTCCAGAAAGAGGTTGTGTGTCTGTTTATCTCTTGCCATGTAACCTTACTGGCTTCAAATAACAAAAAATATTCTATTATTATCTCTTGGCAATTCTAGGGGTTGCCCAGGCTCAGCCAGATAGTTTGCACTTAGAAACTGTCCTGCAGTCACTGACAGATGGTGGCTATGGCTGGCACCACCTTGAAGACTTCTCCCTCTCGTCTTTGGTGGCTGATGCCGACTCTCGGCAGGACCTCAGTTAGGATTGTCGGGCAGCACACCTACACATGGCTTCTTCTCACAACCAGGGCTTCCTCCGTGGCTGGGTTCCAAGGGCAGCCTCCTGAGACAACAAGAGGAACAACATATGCATGGCACTTTCATGACCTAGCCTCAGAAGTCACATAGTTACTCCTGCCAGACTCTGTGGGCCAAGGCAGTCATAAAGGTCTGCCCCGGCTAAAGAGGAGGGGACAGGGACCCTACCCCTCTGTGGAAGGAGTGTCAATGTTACACTGTAAGAAGAGCAGGTGGGCTGGGAATGCTGTGGTGGGCTGGGGAGATACAGTCTGCTACAGGGACCCATATTCAGTAGTCACAGTATTCTCTCCAAAGTGGTTGTGATGTGAAAGACAGCACAGGAGTTAGAGAGCAGGCCACAGCCCTGCTGCTGCAGGTGGTCCAAAGCCATGGTGAGTCACCATCCTCTGCCACTGGCAACCCTTGATTCCCCCACCCTGACTGGCCTGAGCTGTTTACTGGTGGAGCAACCCAGGCCTTCATCCCTCAGCAGCAGTCTGAGCTCTTGTCCCTGTTCTTATTGGGCTGGAGTTGTTGTAGTTGTCTCTTGACGGCCCTCACTGATGTGGAAGTCCTAAGCTGCCTGCCTGCCTCTGCAGTGTCCCTACCTTCAGAAACTAGGGCCTCCAACCTGGCAGCATCTCAGGTTTGGGGCCACTGTCATTATGGGGCCATTCTTACTGCATATCCTTGGTTCTGTGACCCTGGTATTTTAGCTGTAGGGCACACACATGGGTGGGTCCAAGTTTTAGAGGCCTAAGGCTTATGCAGATTTGGGGGCTGTGTTGAAGGTACCCAAGACCAGCCCCAGAATCAGTGATTTGCTAGGAGGACTCAGAGAACTCAGAGTATATGGTTGTACTCCTGGCTAAGATTTCTTATGGAGTGAAAGAACAGTCTTGCTAAGGGCTAACAAGAAAATAAATTCCTAACTGGCAGCCACTTAGAGTAGCTCAAACCCTGCCTCTAAGGGTATAGCCTGAATATCTCTCCTACAGAGATGTTTACCTAGCAATTAAAAGATGCTGAGCAAGACAAAAGGTCTAAATCCTCATTAACATTCGCCAGAGCTGGTGGATTCACATTCCAAAAGAGAAAGTATCTCCAGGATTGTGGAAGAAATGGTAGACTATCTGGATGGACTGGCATCAAAAATTCACTGCCTGCGAAAAGGTTTTTTAAGTATTGTTTAAACAGCCTTGAAGAAGCCACCTCCCCCTGGCCGAGAGCCACTCTTATCAGGGAATGGTGGGAATCTTTCTGAAACCCAAGTTCCCAGATACCAGCAAAATCTGCAAGCTTGTGATTTTTTTTTTAATTTTAATTTTTCATATTCGTTTCTGATGAATAGTCCAGGGAGAAAGTTTGCTTTTTGAAGAAGAGCAGTCTCAGGCCTGATGTGTTAACTCTACTCTGCCCAGGGTCCTCTTTAAGAAATAGAAGACAAGGCTGGGCACGGTCGCTCACGCCTGTAATCCTAGCACTCTGGGAGGCCAAGGCGGGCGGATTGCTCAAGGTCAGGAGTTCAAAACCAGCCTGAGCAAGAGCAAGAGACCGTCTCTACTATAAATAGAAAGAAATTAATTGTTAGAAAGAAATTAATTGTTAGAAAGAAATTAATTGGCTAACTAATATATATAGAAAAAGTTAGCCAGGCATGGTGGCACATGCCTGTAGTCTCAGGAGCCTGAGGCAGTAGGAATGCTTGAGCCCAGGAGTTTGAGGTTGCTGTGAGCTAGGCTGACACCACGGCACTCACTCTAGCCTGGGCAACAAAGAGAGAACCCGGGCGCAGTGGCTCACGCCTGTGATCCTAGCACTTTGGGAGGCTGAGGCGGGTGGATTGCTCGAGGTCAGGAGTTCAAAACCAACCTGAGCAAGAGCGAGACCCTGTTTCTACTATAAATAGAAAGAAATTAATTGGCCAACTAATATATATAGAAAAAATTAGCCGGGCATGGTGGCGCATGCCTGTTGTCCCAGCTACTCGGGAGGCTGAGACAGAAGGATTGCTTGAGCCCAGGAGTTTGAGGTTGCTGTGAGCTAGGCTGACGCCACGGCACTCACTCTAGCCTGGACAATAGAATGAGACTCTGTCTCAAAAAAAAAAAGTATATATATATATATAATGTTAATTAACTGCCTGGCATATAATTAACATGTAACATGTTTAGCCTGCATTTTTTGGATGCATATTCCAATGGCCTCTTCAGGTGACAACACTTTATGATGCCACCTTTCATATATAGAGAGAAAATAATTCAGTCTCTCCTCTGACATGTTTTATCAAAATTTACTTCTATTATTTATAGTTTAGATAAATTGCTTTCAGGTAACAGCTCCTTTGGGTAATATCGTGTACATTTTTAGGATTATTGTTAAATTTTAGGAAACCTCTATTAAATCTCTTCCATATATGAGCCATAAGATTTCAGGGCCTTTTGGGTTTTCTTGCTTGTGACTAATCTTAGATACTCATTGAGCTGACGACGCTTGTTAGCCAGTTTTGTTAGCTTGTGCTGTCATAACATGCAGCGGAGGAGGTGGGTGTGTTTCTGGAAGCCATTTCTACCCCAGAACCACTTGCAGTAGCATACATATATCAGGAAGTGACTGTTCTCACTAAACCCAAACTAAATGTCCCCTCAACTCAACCTACTCAGAGCTGCATCCCACATGCCTTCTCCAGTTCCACACAGCAGAGCAGGTTGTAGTGGCACGAGACAGTCTTAACTGACTGGGGCTAAAATATTTTATGTTTGTAAACTTTACTATAATAAAAACATGAATACTATTGCTGGGGTGAAGGGCTTGACCCTTCACCCCAGCAATAGTATTCCCTTCACCCCACGAGCATGAAACCTCGTGGCTTCATGGTGAATCTGTCCCTAGAGCCCCAACTCCTTAGGGTAACACAGACTCATCCCA